AGAAAATAAGAGTGTACCCTGAGACTCCAAAATGCACCACTCCACAAACTCTCCTTGCATTGAGAATTGGGATCCTCTTCCTCTTTGTTCACTGACTCTTGCAGATGTAACACATCCTTTCACACCACCCTGATCCAAAGAAGGGCTAGTTCACGATGACTGTCACAGGATGTGCCTCTTTCCAGGCCATTTTTTTGCTGGAATCTGACTTTTAACTTTGCATGACCTCCTGAGTCAAACCTTTACCTGCAGCATCTTGATTTTTTACTTTGTCCTTTCTGTCAAGAGGCTGTCCTCCTCCTTCCATGATTTACCTCCTGTTCCTGACAAGCTTTCATTCTTTGTCAAGCGCTAGCTGTAAACCTTTCTTTCATCTCTCCCAGAAGGTCTCAACCCAAACCCTACTCATATGCGATCTTATCACAGACCGTGCTCCTACAACCATACAGGCATTTCCGCAGCTTGAGATCACTCGCCAGCCCCTTCCACTTTGCCTGCACATGCAGAGAGATGTATGTACATCTCCTTTATTTCCTGTTGACATAGCATGCATCACGCCCGGGTTTCTGCTGTGCAGTTTCACAGCTAATCTGAGCTAACTGCGAACAATTAGGAACGAGCTGCTTGCGGCCAGGAGCAGAGGAGCTCTTTTTTTCTGGCACCAATTGTCATTGCTCGGCTGCAGTTAAGCCTGCTTCACATTTGCCTGGCTTACAGAATCACAGAATAATTAAGGTTGGAAAAGACTGCTAAGATCACCTAGTCCAACCTCCATCCATCCCCATCATGCCCACTGCCCATGTCTCTCAGTGCCACATCCACATGGTTCTCAAACACCTCCAGGCACAGTGACTCCACCACTTCCCTGGACAGCCTGTGCCACTGCCTCACCGCTCTTTCAGAGAAATCATTTTTCTTAATACCCAACCTGAACCTGTTAGGAGTTTGCAGCTTTGTCCCTCCTCCTTTTGTTCAGTACAAGATGGTGTGGGTGCCATGGGCTGGAGAGTTGGAGATTCCCCACGCTGCACATTCATTATCCGCCATATAGCACACAGACAGCACCTCTTCCCTTTAGTGCACTGAAATGAAGTTTGATATTACTCTCTGTTCTTTGTTAGAAGCAGGTTTAAATTACATTAGAGGCTTCGAGATCTGCAGTACACGTCATCCCCCCCATCACACAGGGCAGGGAGAATAAACACTGCCAAGTTTGCTGCCTAATGACTCACGCACAGGGAAGATTTCACAGGGGGGGTCGGCTCCTGGTCAGTGCCCACACAAGTGTTGGGGCACTGCATGAGCCAGGCAGACAAAGCCAGGCTCAGCAAAGTTTTTTCTTTGTGGAACATAGTAAAATAGTGAAAATAGTGAGGAAAAGAAGTGGGAGATAGGAAGCCAAATTCCAAGGACATAATTCAGTATTCAGGTAGTTGCATCTTCAAGTTTCATCACATATGTAGGGGATTAAATGCACATTAATCACTGACAAGTCTCAGGATAAATATTCAGTTACATGAAAATTTTCTCCAGATGTACATTACAAGGTAAATGCCTAAGGGGATGTTAAGGAATGGTCAATATCAGGAACAGTTACTGAGAACCGAACAGAACATTTACTGGGAACTGAATAAAAGCTGAAGTTCAATTTTACAACAGAATCTTTGCTGCTAGTCATGTAATTCCTGTGAACCGCTCCCTGGCTTCAGTGGATTTAGATCCTACCTAAACAGTACCCAGGTTTTTGCTCACCTCCCATGCAGGAGCAGCTTCATCTTGGCTGTATGAGGATGCTGAGGATGCTTAATATTCAGCAAAGGTATGGTTTGGTTTTTGCCAGGAATTTTTCCTTTGCAATAAAAGCATTTACTTACAGTGGGAACCCTTGTAACGCTTCTATCCCCTTCCCAAAAATACCATACCTTGCACTTTCAATGGCAATAAAGTGGCTTTTGTGCCTAATCTTATGGCCATCATTAATTTTGTCAGTATTTCTCAGAACTCCAAGCATCCAGTTTCCCCAGCCACTTCCATTATTCGAGAACAAAGGGAATACTTCACATGTAGATAACATATTTCAGTCTCCTTGTCAAACTACTTGGGATAGTATCCTTTATACAGTGGTTTACTATTTATGATATTGAACGTATTTGGCCTATCTCAGGAATGCTACGTCTTTATATCAGAATTCAGCAGCACACTAAAAACACTGAAAAGAAACCCAAAAGTAAGAAAAAGAAGTAAGTTCTCTACCAGGTGTTGTTTTCAGTGGTTCGGTCTTGCATTTAGAAAATGGCATTTTTAGCAAGGAGAGAAGTTTGAAATTGGCCAAACTTAGCCCCAGGTTTTTAGCTATCTTAATTTTTTTTCTTTAAAATAAGACAAACATCCTTCTTAAACCCATCATATGCAATAGGATTCAGAGCATTTTAGAATTCTTAACAGATCAGACAAACTTGAAAACAGAACATAACCAATTTGCAGGAACCCCAGTGGAAAGAAAAAGTCCTCCTCTTATGTTTCAGTTAAGCTGTGCTTATTATTAAACCAGGCTCAACACTGAGTAGCTCAGTCACAATTGGGGAATTCATGGTACTATTTCATGCTGTATTATCAATTACCAGATGCTGATTTCTCCTGCGATCCCCACAAGCATGTTTTCTCTCCTCTTCTCCCACAATCAAATCCACAGCTGTTTTCTACATTGTAAAACTGTTTTGTGCTCAAGCCATTCTTTTCCCCTTTTCCTGCTGACTCAGACACCTCTTGGAGCTGAGTACATCTCTTTCAAGGCTCCCCAGCAGCATTCCAGCAGCACATCTGCTGGCAATGGCTTAGCTCCATCCTCCTCTGAGAATCTGAGAGCTGGTAACTCAGCATCCTTACCAGTTCTACGGCTACGTATGCACATGGCCCTCAGAAATATCCTAGGTCTGACAGAAGCCACATACTCTACCCCCCTGCACTGCTGGGCAAAGGTACTCCCAGGTTCACAAGAGGGACGGGGTGGTGGAGCCAGGACAGGGATGGTCCTCTGAGTGAATGCTGGAAATGCATTATGTGGTCCTAAGAGTTGCCTTCATTTCACAGCATGATTGCACACTTAGTCTAAAGTACCTGCTCTTCCATTTTACAGAAGTGTTTTAAAACTGCACTGTGCTAGGGAAGACCAAATTGAAATTGCTTGTATCAAAACATGTGCAATGCATCAGTAAGTGCAGCATGTTCCAGGATGAATAGGATTCACTTTTCAAATGCAGCCCAGACCAGAATGACAAAATATTTTATAGGTAGTTGTGATGCACAGTCAAAAGCTAGAGGAGCCAGTTAGAAGGATTGGAGGCAGCTAACGGTGCACTGAGGGTACAGTGCTAAACTGGACCAGCAGGTCCAGTTCCCCTTCTCATTCATCATCAGTCTGAGTAGGTTCATCTACCCAACCATGAAAAGAGAAAGAAGTGAGGTGGGTGCAAGTGGGCCCATCAAAAGCCGCTCATTTTGCAGCCAGAGCATCCGAGGCATTGGGGATCAAAGGGAAGTACTGCAAACCACCTCTTCTCCATTCTCCCCAGCCAAAACCTTGTTTTCCAGCTGAGCAGAGTTCCCAGTAGCCCAGCTGAGGCCAATGAGCACCCTAGGACTCAGTGGGGCTGGGCTGGGGATCACACAAGGCTCTAAATTTCCCAATGAAATGTTTGCAATGTTTGTGAAATGACTGTTTGCAGAAGAATCACATATTTGGTACAGCTACAAAGAGGCAGCACTGACCCAGGAGAGGTGTTTCTTTTACCTGCTGGCTCGCATGCCCCATCTGGTCCAATGCCCAGCTCTTGAAGGACACAACAGAAATAAATCACTGTCAGGTAGTCCTGTTTCTTAAGTTCAAAAGGACTGACACTTGTTAGCTCAGTTTTGAGACCCTTGGCCCAGCCTTTGGAATACTGGATCCCACTGAGTCAAATTTTGAGATGCCAACACCGTAAGAATCCTGAGATGTGCAGGAGGTGGTGGTGCTTTGTCCACTTTCCCTGGTGGGAAATTACATCACTGCTCCATGCACTGCTGAGTCCACCCTTCCATGAAAATGCCAAGAGGATTAAACAGCTTGCATAATTTCAAAAGGAAGCAGTGAGGGTGAAAATAAATACACATTGAAATAGTATAAAGTGCACTGGTTAAAAAGAAAAACAAAACAAAAAGCCACAGTCACAAAGGTATCTGGGTCTGCTGGCAGTGCTGGGAGCCAGATGGGACTGGAAGCAGGCAGGGTAATGCCAGTGACAGCAGGAGCGGTACCACCATGCCACTGAGCCCCGGGGGTGCTGCAGACATTGCAGTGATGGAATGGGCAGATAACCACAAAAAAATGATGGCTTAGGTATTTTCAGAAACTACTCTGTTTTTTTTTTTTAACCTTGTGGGGTCTGCTCCCTTTTTGTTTTAAAGTACCAAACACTGACCTGCATGTATTGGCAGAAAGCGTGGAAATTGTACTTAATAACTAACACAATAACCATCTCTTACAGACTGTTCTAGGGTGAAATAAGTGAAATAAAGAGCTTTTCTCTCCTGCCTGTGAGGCTTTGGCTCAAGTTGCCAGGGGACAAAGAAACAAAGTGCCCTCAGTTGCTCAGAGACCTTGTACTGATGAATTTGCCCATTAAAGAAATAGCACTTGAGGAAGGAGTTTCCACCTTGCCTGCCTACCTGCAATAAAATGCCGCGCATTTTGTGGGATGGCAGAAACACGAGGTGACTGTAAAGTCAGGAGGCTGGTGTCCCTGGAGCAGCCTGGGTCATTCCCTTCGCCTCTACTGAGCAGAGCCCCATTTCCACGACAAACAAAAGGAGCATCAGAGCCAGAAGCCTCCACGCTGTAATGACATTCATCCCAGCGGGGCTCCGCTCCCAAGGAGAGCAGGCACCAGGAAATTATGTGCAATACATTTCAGTGATTTACAGCTCTGTGCTCGTACAAGCCCACTGTCAGCTCTAGTTACCTTACAGGCAGTGGCAGCTTCAAGCGATGTGGAGATTTCTTTCCCAGCTCACAACACACAATCTAGGCGGCAACATAAGTCCACAAAAATCCTAAGTCAGAAAGGAAAATGTAATTTCAAGGAGGGAAATGCACATCACCCCAAAAGACAGAAAAATCTAATAAATTGCTGGGAATTAAATCCTCTCCCACAACCCTGACAGTGAGAAGCAGGGGTGAAATGGCACCGTCAGTGTGTGGGACAGAGAATCAACTCGTGCCCACTTTCATGGCTACACAGCTAAAGAAGGGCTGCTATGAATGAGAAGTTACTTGGAGGCAAACAGCACTTATTAGTGAATCAACAGCAAGTGTGGATGAGACAGAGCTAAATCCAGTGACAGCCAGTTGATGCAAAACTCGGATTCATGTGTTTTGAGACCAACATGTTAAATCATTAAATATGCTTCTGTTTCTCACTATTCTTTATCATAGGGAATTACAACTCACCTTTCAACTTGCAAAAATCTTAGTTAATTTTTAACTTACCTTCTTTATCTAACGAGAACTAAGGTGAGTTCTGTCTGTCACAGTGGGCACCTCTCCAACTTCTGCTTATAATTCTGAGTTGCCTTTCAGATGTCTCTTTTGCTCAGCATCGAACTTTGTGCCTTATCTCTTCACAGGGACCTATTTTCTTAATCACCCAGACTGAGACCGTTTTACTTTCAATGCACTGAAGTTTTAGACTGATGACTGACTCTACAAACTCTGATTTTGGCTGCTTCAAAGCCCAGAGGATGGAAATGGGATGTTTTGTATTCATTTTTATTGTCCTTGTTGTACACATGATTGAAGGACTAGGAAACACTAGGGTTCCCTATATTTCTACATGAGTCTTCTAGATGAGCCAGAGCAGAGCAAAGGGTAGAATGCTTCTTTCACATCTCCTACGTATGTGAAGGCATGCATCTACACCTGCTTATAGCCACAAATTCTTTGCAGCTAGACTTCCCAGGATTTCCTGTTCCCTCTTGACTTTATCAGACTTGGCAGGGAGAAAATACTCCAAACAATGTTTTCATTTTCCAGTTTCATTTCTGATATTCTTTAAAGGTGCTCTTCTTTAGAGCTGGACAAGGAGCATATTCACAGGACATCTAGCAGCTGCCTTCACAGCTACTATACAGTGAGCTACTATTAGTTTAGTTACTATACAAACGTGCAGAAAGACACAATTGCTATCCTGTAGGGGACATCTTCCCTACACGCCAGTGACACACATATGCATACAGACATAATTTAGATGTTGGGGGAAATTTTTCACTCAGAGTAGCACAGGCTGCCCAGAGAAGCTGTGGTGCCCCATCCCTGGAGGCACTCGAGGCCAGGTTGAATGGGGCCCTGTGCAGCCTGAGCTGGTGGGGGGCAGCCCTGCCCATGGCAGGGGTTGAGACTGAGTAATACATCCCCACCAGTGCATGTGGAAGTCCTCTGTGCTTTATGCTCATGCTTGCTCTGCAGCAACACAGACCCTTCCCCCTTCTTGTCACTGCCAAAGTGTGGGTAACAAACCTGGCTCCTTCCCTACCCATCTGCCTTTGCTTGGCTCTTCTGATCCTCTTCTTCCTGGGCGGGAGTTGGCAATTCAGGAGGCATTGCATGCTACAGCAACAGCCAGATGTTTGGTCTTGACAGGCTCAGCATGAGATGAGATTGAAACAGCACAATAAAGATCACACTTAGGAGACTCCCCCTCCCCATTTTTTATCTCATGAAACTTTTTTTTTTTTTTTTTAGGTACAGATGAATATAAGTACTATCTCAACCGTTGAGTTAATAACATGTAAAATGCACTCTTTGCCATGCACATAATTAGTCTTGCATTGCAAACACGAAATATTAATAAATAAAAATTAGCACCTTTGTTGTGGCTGTGTTTCAAACTGCTTTGAAAATTAATTAATTCCCAGCAGCTCGTGTGAGGCAGAAAACCATTATTAGCCTAGTTTTTACACACGGAGGCGGAGAGCTTTCTCCAAACCATAAGCTCCTTGTACAGCAGCATTGCCTTGCTCTTTAAATAGCAGTGTTGACTACTGGAGCTCAGATTACTTTGCAAAGGAAATTGGCTTCCTTTCCTGGATACGGAAGGAGCTGGGAGGAGGGTCAATTCAGAATGGGGGAGGTGTCTCCTCCACAAGCACTGGGGAGCAAGGAGTAGGAATGGCTCAGGCCCTGCCCAGCAGCAGCAGGCTTGTGACCTGAGATGTCAAGCAGCCTGAGATGTCAAGCAGCACAGGGCATGCAGTCTAAGCAGCAACTGCTGTGCCGGGTTTTCTAGTGCTATTATATGGTTCCTCTTGGCCAAGATTCTGAAATCTGTCAACTCAGCCCAGGCTCAGCCCTCAAAGCCTGGGCTAGGAGCCCCGAAGCCCCTTCCTGGGGCCAGATGCTCCAGGATCAGTGATGGGCGTCCCATGCCACCATGCAGCTCCCTGCCAAGAGGCTGCTTTTTGTATGATGAAGATGTTTTTGGAGGCTCCTCACATCAGCAGAGCAGCCTGAGAGTCCCAGCCACTGGCCCAGACAGCTCTGCAACATGCCCATGTAGCCTTGCTCCATACAAGCTGCTTCTTGCAGGGACACAGCTAACAGTGCAAACAACAACTGAGTTTTCTGGGGCTGGAATTTAAGACTAAAATGCCCACAGCGTTCACCAGGTCTTAGTAAGGAGCGTGACCCCCTAGAACCTGCCTGGATGCCCAGACACAAGCTGCCCCTCCCTGCTTGCAGGGAACGTGAGAACTCCCAGGGCAAAAGGCCCGGCTGCTTCGGTTCACTTGTTTGTTTGAGGTAACTGCATGGAAGAAAGGAAATAAAAAAAGGGCACTCAGGGTTGCTGATGCCAGGTAACAAAGGCCACTTTCAGCAGGGCTGTGGCTTAGCTTGGTCTCAGCTCACCTTGTGCCGGATCTTCTTCTCACAACAAACCACTTCACACAAGCCTTGTTCCCAGCCCGCTTTCACATTTTTACTCAGCCTTGGTCCCCAGTCTGCTAACAGACAAACTGCTCTCCTTCCATGCTGGTAGCAGGCAAAATGAAACAGGCCACCCCCTACAGCAGTTTCTTGGGCCGAGTAAGTGCTTTGAGTCAAGTGCAGGGGACTCTATGCAACCAGAGGTTCAGTTTAACTTCTGTGTCAATCCTGACGAGAGAAAAGCTTTCAGAATCAGAAACAGTTTTTGCAGAAGTATGCTACCATTTCACTGGAGCACAGCTGTCACCACCTTTGCTTCTGCAGGAGCACAGGCAGCAGTCAGATGTTTGCTATGTGAAAACCTGTCTGCTACATATAACTAATGTAACTCAAAAAGGGCCGAGCATGTTTTTCCATCTCAGGAGAGGCTTAGGGACCTCCCACATCAGCAGGCCAGTTCTAACCACTGCCTGCAATAAGTTCCTGACTGCTCTCCATGACCCTGGCACTCTCAGGTGCCCACCTTGCTCAGCTGACAGCCATGAAGCAGGAGCAGCATGGAGCTTTTGGCTATGACTTTCCACCTTCTGCCATATGGAGAGGGAGAAATAGGGTTTTGGTTGCTGGTAGGAGGGGTTCCTCCTTCCCCTCTGTTCTAAGCAGCAGGCATGTGAGAAGGCACTCACTTATTACTGATCTCAGTGGGAAAAACCAACAGGGTTTCAACATGCATTTTGCCAAAAGGAGAAAGATAAAAATGAAAGAGGGGAAATGCCCACACTGAATTAAAAGGGCAAAGCAGAGCCCCAAAGGACTGCTGGTGGTCTTCCCAGCGCCTTCAACCATCTTCGGCCTCTGGCCAGCCCAGGTGTGCCCAGCTGCACTCTGCAGCCTCCTTGCCCAGTCAGGACAGCACTGGCAAGCACTTGTGCTCACAGGCTGTCTTGATGACAGGTCTTAATTTGTAGAAGAAACCAAAACAACAGGGAGCAAAGGCCAGCAGAGCTTGTGAGATCAAGTGTTCAACTGTCAAGTGGTCCAAACACTATGTGAGACCACACAGTGAGAGGGCAGAGGCTGTTGAGACACCAAACCTGGCACCCTTTCTTTCTTCAGCTCTTTTTCATCTAGCTAACAGGTTTATTCAGGTTTTCCAGCAGCACCGTGTAATAGAAAAGTAGCTGCTTTCCTTTCCAAATGTTCATTTAACTTCGGTTTACCACAGCATTCATTTTATACCTTTGGTGTACTGTTTTGTCCAGACTGCCAGACAAACTAACGTCAAAGAGTAATCAGCATGGATGTCTGAAAACTCCCTGAAACACAAAGCAACTCTTAAGGCATATTTAATAAAATAAATAATAGTGAGGTTATCTATAAACTGTCATATCATTCTGAACAACAGTTCCTCGGAAGAGCCCAGGGTAATTCTTGTGAAACAAACAAATATAAGAGTGTTGACAAATGGAGTGTTGATAAATGTAAGAGTAACCTGGACAGAGTTCATTGGAAGTGTTGTGGGTAATGCTCAGGAATAATAATATTTTTAAAAGAATAATCTATGGAGGCAAGCAGAGTGGAAAGTAAGATGGTTAGAAAACTAGAGACAATTCATTTGTAGAAAAGCTGATCCCTGAATGTCGAAGATTTACCTCAGTGTGGAAGAAGCTGCAGTTTCCAAGCACTAAATGTTTTGCAGATACCCAGACACACAGCCCAAAAGCTCACCTCCATCAGTTCAATTCTTCAACTCTCTCCTTTCTGATAACTAACATGGTTGGGAAACTCAGTGCCCAACCCTGACCTATGCCAAATTTTTTGGGAAGACCAACAGTATGGAACTTTGGATCAATATTGTAAGAAGTGCTTTGAGCTCTGCTATCACTTTAGAAAGGAACAAGGGACAAAGGGCAACACTTTTTGCTGCCCTTCTCCTCTCTGCCCTGCATGAAACGCACAAACGTCCCTTGAGGATCCAGTGTTCCACTCCTGAGAAATTCACAAAGCAAGCACGGCAGGGGTTCAGGAGCTCCCATCAGTGTGCTCTTTTATGCAGTTCACACAAATCTTTTAAAATAAGATCTAAAAGCCAATGCCAGATCCCTGCACAGCTCAGCAATACCGAAGCATCTGCCTGAAGCAAGTTACAGAAGGGAAGGGAGGTGGCAGTTTTGGGAGCCTGAGATGACGGCGTCATCCTAACTCACTCGGGAGAATCCCCTGTGGAAAGCAAATTCCTTGAAAATTGCCTGGAGTCAGAGATTCTCTCGTGCGACATATTTGCACGCAGCCTAGGTCTCCTTTTAACATACTTTGCCTTTTGTCTTGTTTTTTTGGCTTCAAGCAACAGCCCAAATGAAATGCTGGAAACAATGACAGCATTAAAGGAAAATGTCATGCTTATCAATATACGCCTTTGTGGCTGTAGGAGTGGAGAGCACCGTGATGTCACTGGTGGGAACAGCTTAAAATTTTCCATTGAGAAAAGGAATCCAGCTTTCATAGAGCCAACACGTTCCAAAAGATGTGCCATGCCATGCGGTCACACAGACGAAGGTTTTGCAGCAGTGCAGCACAGGCTGGGAGGCTGATTTAATTCAGAAGTTGCAGAAACAACTTGCATTTATTTACCACGGGAGCATGTAGCACAAGCTGCCATGTGCATAGAATTCAATTCTGTGAGCAAAGATGTTGAAGATAGCACTGTCTGTATGTTGACAAATTACCATAGGCCAGGTCTGGACCATGCAACTCTGCAGATTCTCTGGGCTGTCCAGTCTGACTGTGTGACTTTGCATTGGATCTGGTTACAGGCGATCTCTAGAGTTTGCTCCAGCTCATCTGGGAACATGTCAGGGGCTGTCCAATGGATTCCAGCTGATTTCAAGGAGACATCAAGGAGATTGGTCTGCTGTGTTGGTGATGGAGGTGTTAATTAGCTGGTTTCTCTGAAGTGCCTTGCAAACAGCAGAGTGATGTTTCAGAAGGATCCTCATCACCCCCCAGCAGCCAGTTAGTTGCTCAATTATCTTAAGTGCATCATTTGACGTCTTCCTGAATAGTGGCTCTCTCCTGTGACAGGTATTAGAATTTAGATTCAAGTAAACAGTTCTTGAGTTTGAGAAGAGCCAAGACTGTGATGTTTACTTCCAGATCTGGATGTCATGCTCCTAAAATGCCCAGGCCACTGGGTGTTGCTTGTTCCTGGCCGGGGAATAAGCAGAGGTTTCATTTCTGGGCTGGGGTGAAAGCTACTGAAAAACACTTTAGCACAAACCTGTGACTTCCCCACCTGGGAATGAGAGCAAGAACAGAGTCTCAGGGAGTGAAGTTTGCCAAGCCTTCTGGTTTTCTTCTCTAGGAGCACAATTTCTGCTCTTTTCAGGATGAAACCTGAAGGAAAATTAGGGCAATTAACAACATTACAACAAACTTTATAATGAGAAAGCACATGCTCCTGTCAACATGTTCTGGGATATATAAGGACTTCCATGATCTACAGGGCTTTTATTGCTGCTTTTGTTGGAATGCATCAGTGGGTATGAACCAGGCCAAGCAGCAAGCCTGCTTTCCTTTGAGGTCATTCTCTATCTCTGCAGCATTGCAATTGCTGCACACACACACACACATATACACACAGACAAATGGTTGAGGTGGGAAGAAGCCTTTGGAAATTGTCTGGTCCAACCATGTCATGTAGCGACACAGAAAGCAGGTTGCACTGGTCATGTCCAGGTGGGTTTTGAGTATCTCCAGGAAAGGAGATTCCAGTCTCTCTGGACAGCATGTTCAGTACTCTGTCATCCTCACAGCAGAATAGTTTTTCCTCATGTTCAGACAAAGCTACCTTTGTTTAATTTTGTGCCCGCTGACTCTTACCCTGCCACTGAACACCATGAAAGAGTCTGGCCCCATCCTCATTACACCATCCCTTAAGATACATTGATCCCTGATGCATTGATAAGATTCCCTCTGTCTTCTCTTCTCCAGGTTCAGCTCTCTCAGCCTTTCTTTATAGGAGAGATACTCTGCCAATGGACTCTCTCCAGTAGTTCCACATCTTTCTTATACTCAGAAACCCAG